TCTCTTTACTAGAGCCCATGTCTTCTACAGCTGGGGGTTCGGGCTCCTGAGGCCTTTGGCTAGTCTTTTCATCCATACTTCACTTGGATGTCACCCATTTCTGTTGGGCTGTTTAATCCTTTGTCCCTATAGTTAACATGTTTAAACATCAAGTCCTAGCTTGCCCACCTGCTTTTCCCCTACTCTTAACCAGAAGAAAAGGGGTCTACTTGTTTGTTACCAATACACTAGCTCTTTTAAAGGAAGGGATGCTTACACAGCCTGTTTCCCCCCTATAAGTTTGGTCCAGGCAGAAATGTCCAGAATAGAGAAGCAGATGGGTCTCAGGACACAAGCAAACAAACGTTCATCAAGCCACACCCATTTTAAATCATGGATGGTTGGAGATGGCAAAGCCAGTGGAGTTGACCAGTCCTTTTGATTAGAGGTCTCCAGGGGGCATTGTGGGAACTCCAGCTACCACGTGGGACTGGCCACTTGTCTGCCATCTCTCCACCCATCTAGGTCCTCTCTACATGCTGAAAGTCTAAAGTGAGCATGTAGAACAGACAAGTGACAAACCTGGCACAGCCACTTCCAGGATCTGCCACTACAGAGGGACAATAACATTAAGAAAACTGTTCCATGCACGAGGAAGTGTGTCATGATAATGTGTTTTCAGGTTCATGAATGATAATGCAGACACACAGCATGCCAGGGCTCCAGGCAGGTATTATGTGTGCATCTTGGAAGACTTCCTGGAAGAGGTGAATCCCAAAGCAACAGAAGTAGGAAATTGTTATCTAGGAAGGTGAGTGGGAGTTGCTAAGCATTGACTGCAGAGGCCATGGATTCAGAGGGATTCTGGGACCAGAACACCTCCTGCTGCTGCCCATAGGAGAACCAAGTCTTAACCTGACCCTTAATGCTGTAGGGAGAGGACATTCTCTCCTCTTACAGGAGCCCAGGGAGACTGGACTGGGTTTTTCCACATTCCCAGACATACTCTGTGAGGATCTGACTTCTAGTCTGACAATGCGACTCCCCGTTGTGACATCCTTAAGCTCAGTCTCACACACATGGTACTCATTCTTTTGAGACTCCAGATTGATCAGGAAACAAAACAAAAAAACCTAGCTCAGGTACCAAAGATAAAATAGTTTCCCAGCTAGGGCAACCTAAGTCAACCAGGAATGACACTTTTAGATGCTTCAGTAAGTTCCCAATGTCCAGACATGTCTGGAACACTTAGAGCAGACACCTCACCAGATGTCCAGCCTAAATGAATACAAAAACACCCACCTCTTTCTTGGCAGAGAAGCAGCTACCTAGGACACAGAATTTTAGTATCTTATCTCTATGGCTGTTCCACTAACAAAAGGAATCAAATGCTGTGCCTGACTCACAGGGTTCTCAGTGCCAGCCTTGTTCTTGAATCTTTTTTGCTAGGTGAGGCCCTTTATTCTTCCCAAGCCCTGATGGCCTCAGTGATCTCAAAGAGCGTCCAAACTTTGCCATCCCAGAAACAACTCCCTTGGTGCCAAGGGAAGCCAGATCCAGGTCTCCTGATCGACAGCCTGGATGTTCCCGGCTGAGCTGAGCTAACTGTGCATATGGCAGAGATTTCTTCTGTTACATATTTTTGTTGTTAAAAAAAATACAAAAAGGAGATAAACTTTCCTCTACTCAAGTCACCATGTAGAAAATTCACAAGTACAGCACATCCAGACAAAGTCATCTTGGCTCTTTTTAGTGCCTGTTTTCCTCTCCACAGATCACAGCATACACCAGAGCAATGGTGGCATCATCTTCCAGAAGTTTGGTTCTCCAAGGAGGCTAGGTTATATTTTTAATAGTGTGTGTGTGTGTGTGTGTGTGTGTGTGTGTGTGTGTGTGTATGCGCAATCTCTTTGGAAAAGCCTGTGGTCTAGCTCTAAGTATTTAAGGAAGAGTCATAAAAATCTACAGAAATACAGCTATAAATGTGTTCTGTATAGGTTTGACCATGTTAGAAACTGAATATGAAGCTGGGTGAGGTAGTGAATGCATTAATCCTAGCACTCAGAGGCAGAGGCAGAGGCAGGAGGATCCCTGTGAGTTTAAGGGCAGCCTGGAGCTCTACAGGGAGAGTTTACATAGCAAGACCCTATCTTTAAAACTCTTATGAATATTATAATGTTATATAAAATTTAAAAATATGTAACATAATATATTGAATATAAGTAAAGGGTCATTTAGCATAGTGATATTTAGTTTAAAAATTCACAAATAGGGCTGGGCAGTGGTGGTGCACACCTTTAATCCCAGGACTTGGGAGGCAGAGGGAGGCGGATCTTTGTGATTTGAAGGCCAGCCTGGTCTACAAAGTGAGTTCCAGGATAACCAGGGCTACACAGAGAAACCCTGTCTCAAAAAACTCAAAAAAGAAAAAAAGTCACAAATAATTACTTGGTGATTTTTGCAAGGGAATACAACCTAGGAAATGTAGGGAATCAAAGTGACCCTGACCTCACACACTGAACTACTATGAGCACTGTGGCTGGGACTTTATCTGAAGGCCGTGTGTGCTGAGCTACCAGCCCTCCTATTGCCTAGGCTGTTGAGTCCATTAGACCCCAATGAAGCTGACTGAGAGGCCCCTGGGTGCCTGCTGAGCAGGGGCTCCAGTCTAGACTGTGGGCCTGGGAGGAGAGTGTGGGGAATGTTCTCTAGAGGAGGATGTGTGCTTAGAACAGGTCTCAACATGGGGGCTAGGGTAGAGCTGGAAGTGTTCTGGCAGACAGCTACACACACCATTCCCTATATACTACAGTGACAAGAAACTGGGGACACAGCTGAAAACTACTCAGGAAGGGGGGCATAGGAGGGAGAAGTCTGGCCTTGGAGGGTGGGTGCACTGGACAGAGATAAAGTGTGGGATGCTCAAGCCCATAGCCAATGACACCAGCTGTTACATCAAGGTTCTCTGAGACTATCTGCTGGGGTCAACTGTTAGACAAGCATACGATGTAATGGTGGAAAACCTAGGTAGATCCTGTGATGGGGGAGGTCCTTCTGTGTATATGTTTGTCTTATTGGTTGATAAAGTACTGTTGGCCAATAGGGAAGCAAGTTAGGTGGGACTAGGAGTCGAGGAGGATTCTGGGAAATGTAGTAAAGAGAAGTCTTGTGATCCTAGCGGGAAGTGACATAGCAGGCAGATTCAATATAAGCAGGGACAAGCAGGAAATCGCTCTTCCTCCTCTTCTCTTCTCTGGAGTTGCCATGTGATCCCAGGAAGAGGACATATTCCACTGGCGTCCTCGATAAGATAAGTCTTAATAAAATATATAGATTAATAGTTATGGTTGGTACTTAAGACTGAGAAATCCTAGTCATTGGCCAACAGCATTGTACCTAATATTAAATCTCTGTGTTTTGGGTGCCCACATGGCGGCAGGGCATTGGTGGCTGGCGGAAAGAGTTATTGTTACAATCCTGTTTCCATTTTTTCCTCCAGAGTAGCAAATGGCAGGATTTCTATGAATGTGTGTTCTGGAAAACTCAGCCTCCAGTGCTATGGAGCTGCCAGCCGTGTTTGGGCTTCCCCTAGTACTGTATTACAATTTATTTTGTTTTGTTTTTGAGAAAGATCTCGGGTAGCCCAGGCTAGCCTCAAAGTCACTATATATCCAAGGATGATCTTGAACTTCTGACCCAAGTGCTGAGATTACAGGTGTGTACCACCATGCCTGGTTTATATGGTGCTGGTGATCTCAATCAGGGCTTCACAAACATAGGCAAGCCTCTACCAACAGAGCCACGCCCCCAGCTTCCCTTCTAAAACTTTAATGCTCTAGAACTCAAAAAACAGATGCATAGTCTACAGATGTGTCAGACCAGTTGTCAGGTTCCTTGCCTCATGCAGCTCACGACTGCTCAGGAGAGACGCAGAACAACGGAGATTTGCCAAACAAAATCTAGGGCCAGCAGCTCACAGGGGATGCACGTGGACAGTCACTGAAGCTGGGAGGAGGGAGGTCAATACAGACAGTGCACTCGGTTCCTCTGAGGAAGTCAGAAGGCTAGGAGAGGAGCCCGACTTGGCTGGACACGGAGGCTTCCACAGACAGAAAAGCACCTGCAAAGGTCCTGGGGCAGGAAAACAGGGAGCCACCACAAGGGTCTTTGGAAAGGCAGAGCGCAGTTGCTTAGACTTAATGATGAGGCTGGTGCAAAGAGAGGCTTGACAGGAGGCAGGCAGAGGGGGTGTGGAGGCTGCAGAAAGTCATTTGTTTTCCACTCTTGCTTTCAAATGACACCAGACTATGTAGAGAAAGGAACAGCCACAGGATCATTTAACCTGCCCCCAACCCTCAACCCTGGTCCTTGAGGGTAGACTTACCCACTCTCATGGGTGGACCTTCTGAGCAAGCTCTCCTTTGAGGAAAAAGCAACTTTTTTTCTTCCCCTCAAAAGCAGCGTTTTCTAGTAACTGACAAGGAATGCAGGGTTTTGTTCATTTGCTTTGCTTTGGAAGGCCTCAGGATCAACAGGTCTCATTTTCCAATGCTTACCTGTTACCCTTGCTACCTAAGTTCAGGGCCCAGAGAGGGCAGAAAGAAGGTTGACTCAAAAGCAGTAAGATGTTACACTAATGATGCATTCTTCACATCTGAGATAAAGAAAGACCAGGAATCCACATTGCTTCCTTGTTGCACGATGCCTTCCTGTACGTGCCAGGTGGTAACCAAGCAGTTCTCATGTGTGTGGAAGCAGTGTAAGCTATGTGGGTGACCTGGTATGGTTAAAATTCAAAAGTATATTCTACACTAATTTATCTGAGTGGTTTCTTCCACTTTCAAGTAGAAATCTGGAAGTCTGTATTTAAACCCTCAGTTGTTTTCAAGCACCCTCAAGAAGTAGCAAGAGTGTCTTCGTGCACACGAAAGAGCATTCTAGAGGCTGAAATACGCACACAACTCAACAGCCTGTGGTTTCCAGTTTCAATTTTCTTAAATGAAAAATATCTCCCCTTCCAGACGTTTCCAGAGCATTCTGAGAAAAGTATAAAAGGAAGGCGCCGCATTCTTCTCTGATTCTGTCACCCACGTCTTCAGATGAGCATCATCCTAGCTGGAAACAGCCAGAGGCTCACTTACCATGCCCCGGACAGCCGCTGGGCCCGTCCCCTCTTCATCTTCCCCATCTGCCTCCTGGTCTTCGTTGTCAGTCCAGGAGGACACGTCCTCCGCTGAGCTAGTCAGGTCAGGTAAGCTCTTCGATGTGAACCTCAGGAGGTCCTCTGCTGAGCTTTCCTAAGAGGATACACGAAAGGCCCAGGAATTACCCCCGGGAACCAGCTGCTGATGGAAGGCAATGTGATGAGGCCAGCCACAATCTCCGACCCAGAGAGCACGTGGAGTTTATGGTCCACATGTGTTGTGTCACAGCCAATGTCAGGTGTGGTGACACAATTTAAAGCCAAAGCAGTTTTGTGGTTCCTAAAGAATCTGGGTATCTAAGGTTAGCACACCCTTGAACCTCTCTTGTCACTCTTCAGATGACTCAAGTCCTCTCATGAGCAGCTCCACAGCTGAAAGAGCTGGCCTCCCCTTCCCTTCCTCTAACCTCACACTCCATTCAAATAATTTCTAGTCCTCCTGGTGTCACCTGCCATCCTCTCCCTGGACCACTCACGACTGTGGCCCTACTCAGAAGAGTGTGGCAATTCATTTGCACCATCAGGACCATCTCAGGAGGCATTCTGTTAGCATCTCTTAGGGCTGGAGAGCCTAGGGCTGGTGATATAGCCTGATGGTGGAACACTCACCCAGCACGTGGGAGGCTTTTGCTTTGCTTGACAGACACCACTAGTCTGCCCTTTCGTCTCCAGCCTTTGGCTGTTTCTTTCAACCTCTGCAACATATCTAATTTTGCTTGTCTTCCTCCCCCCATGTGCCTACTACTTCCACCCACCATTTCTAATTATCCTCAGGCATAACCCAAAGCTCTAATGCCCACGATGTCCTTCTCCCTGCCCCACTGGCTACCTTACTTGCACACGCTCAGTAAAGAAAGTTTATTACAGAATCAAAATGCCATCCTAAAGACAGGATGATATGATGTCTTTTCAATGAAAACAGCCCCTGAACAAATTTTCAAGACAAATATTAGCATATGGACTCAGTCTCCATTATGTTTAGACTCCTGCATAGAGATGGCAGAGCAGGTGTGGATGTAGGTGAGATGGTCATGATACCCAGGAGCACCCAGGAGCCTGGCACACTTCCTAGAAAGGCTACCAGACACCACGTCCAGGGATGGGCAGGGCTGAAGAGCTGGGCCCTGGAAAGATGGCATGGTTTTCTCCTCATCTCTTCATTGTAGGCACTTCTACAGGGAGTAGAATGTACTGCAAAGTTTGAACCATCAAACTGTTTGACTATCCATAGACTAGGGGACAAGAGCCAAAACCAACTGCCAAGTTGTAATAGACGTGGTAAGTTTTTAGCGATCTGGCATCTAAAGTCAGCAATGCTTATCACCAGCTCTCGATGCCATTTTCAACCTCGAGGAATGTGAAGAACAGCCACTTTAGGGCAACACCTTAGGCCTGGAACAATCACTTTACACCAGTAATTGTGAAGACTGAACTGTTTGTCTCTGAGGAAATGAAGTCACTGGGCAAAAGGTGAGTCTGTTTCTCTTCTATGTTGTCTGCTCTGTTGGACCAACAACAAGAAAGTTTTTTGTTTTTTTTTTTTTTAAAGAAAGAAAAGGTCCTAGCAGGTGAGTAAATTGCAGAGAAGCCAAGGGACAGACTATGTCATGGCCTTGCAAAGTGGAGCCGAGATGTACTTCTCCTGGGAAAGAGTCTGGCACTATGCTGCCTAGTGAACAGAAGAATTAAAACATGTGGAACAGACATGTGTGTGATTAGACTACATGTGCTCTTATATGACAAAGAGGATGGCAGTCACTCCTCTACTGTTCTCCCTGGTCAGCTGCACTGCTCAGGGCATCACTGCCCCTTCCCCCTTCAAGCATTGTGATATCCTCAGAGACAGTGCCTGATCTCATCATGCAGACAGGAAACTGGGATTTAAACATGTAATGGCTTGCCCAGAACACACAGCTTTTCTCAGGGTGGAGCTGGCATGTAAGCCCAGGTGGGATGGCCCCCAAGATGCACTCTGTCTCTTTGAAAGGGAAACACGGGCATGCACATTGCACTCACACATGTGTTTCTAGGTAAAAGACACAACTGTGAGGGGATGGTACCATTAGCAGGATAGGCAAAGCATCATCGTCTCTATGCTTTCTGTGTAAGATGTAATGGACACAGGATTCCAGTTGATTGCTTAATAAAACCAAGAGTGAAAATAAAGAATATGAAAGAGAACTTTCTGGCTGCATGATGCCACTAAGACCATCAAAACTGGGCTGGTGAGACAGCTCAGTAATTTAGAAGACACTTTTCTTTCAGAAGATCTGAGGTCAGTTCCCACCACCCACATAGGCGGCCTACAACTTTAATTCCAGCTCCAGGGCATATGTTGCCTCTGGCCTCTATGGGTATCAGCACACATGTACACACACACACACACACACACACACACACACACACACACACACACACTTTATAATAATACAATAAATCTTAAAAGAAATAATATCAAAACTGGGCTGGTGAGATGGCTCAGTAAGGGCATTCGTTCAAGCTTGATGACCGGTGTTCAAGTCCCAGGGTCTCATACAGTGGAAGAAGAGAACTGATTTCCACAAGTTGTCATTGACCTCCACATGTGTCACACACACACATACACACACACAAATAAGTAAATAAATAAATAGTATCAAAATCACCCTGGCTATTCTGGTTTTGTTTTGTTTTTTATTGCTGTGATAAAAAAAATAGAGGAAAAGCCTGGTGTGGTGGCACACGCCTTTAATCCCAGCACCAGGGAGGCAGAGGCAGAGGCAGGTGGATCTCTGTGAGAGGCCAGCCTGGTCTCCAGATGGAGTTCAGGACAGCCAGGGCTTTGTATAAAGAACCTGTTCCCCCCTACACACACCCCCAAAGACAAAACAAAAACAAAAAAAGGACAAAACAAATTGGGTTAGAAAGCATTTGGCTCACACATCTTTACCACTGTCTATCACAAAGAGAATTTAGAACTCCAGGCAAGGACCTGGAGACCGGAACTGCAGTAGAGGCCATAGCAGAATGCCACTTCCTGGCTTTGCTCTCCATGGCATGCTCAATTTGACTTTATAGACCCAAGGCTGCCTGCTCAGGGTGACACTACCCAGTGTGCTGGATCCTACACCACCAATCATCAGCCAGGAAAATGTTGGCACAGACTTGCCTACGGGTCAATCTTAAGAAGGCATTTTTTTTTTTTTTCACCCGAGGCTCTTTTTTCCAAGAGCACCCTGACTTAGTAAAGCTGACAAAATGCGAACCAGGACACTGGCAACCCTGACTTGGCAGCACAGACATCCAGGCTCTTTCTGTGATACTAGCTAACAACTTGTTTCTGTGGCAGCTCTTAGCTGGCACTCTCTCCATGTGGAGTAACCACACTTCCAGACAATGCCTTAAAGTTTTGTGACAAGCTCCCTTGTTCTAGAATAATAAGATTTTACATTTTTATTATTATTTATGATCAGGTCAGAAACTCTCCGATTCTTCACACCCCAGGTATGAAGACAAAAAACAAAGCCTCTGACTGTCCTATTCTGGTTGGATAAAGAGGAGGAACAGTTGGATGCCAGGAGGAGACTGAAGATAGATGCTCCTCTTCCTTCCTTCCGACAGCTGGGGTCAAGGTTAAGCAGCAGCAGGCTGGGCAGCTGACAGCCTGAGTGTAAACAGGACACATGGCATGGACTGAAAGGTGTTCCCTTCTGAGGTCTGCGTCAGGTGCCCAGGAGCCCATGGACTGAGAATTGGTTGCTGAAAGTTGCTCAGCTCTACAGACTCCAGCACATGCCCTGCAAAAGGCAAAGCCTCTGGGAGGAGCACGCTGTCCTTTTCTGACACCATGCTGTTATTCTTTTATCTTCTGTACCTCTAGGGCAGCTGGGTATATGGAAGCAGCAGAAATTTCACAATCCACCGGACTTGGCAGAAAACCTGCTTTTGTCTACTGCCGTGGGCCTTGGGGGGAAGTTAAATAACTGCTGGGATTTAAATGGAAACCTTTGAATAAAGAGAACACATATCTTCCCTCAAGGGATTGCTTTAGAATCTAGTGAGATGATTTTCGTGTTTGACAACCATTATACACTCTGCCTTTCTTCTTTTAAGGTGCAGGGTAGGGTGGAGGGCATGACATCACTGGGAACTGTCTTTGAGGTCCTGTGAATGTCCCCCATAAGGCAACAGCATAGCTCTATGCAAAGCTAAGATGTCTGTGGTCTCATAGATTTGCCCAGCCAGTCAGTAGTGGACTGTTTGTATCTTTGTCTCCTGTTTTTTCTGTGTTTGTGGATAAAAGCTTAGTATAGGAAAGACACGCCTTTTTTCACCTTTCAAAGTTAGCAGGTGAAAGCAGGCAGCATGGAAGTGAGGCTCTGTGCTCTAGTAGTTTGAAGGTAATTGGCCACCATAAGCTCACAGGGAGTGGCACTATTAGGTGTAGCTTTGTTGGAGTAGGTGTGGCCTTGTTGGAGGAAGTATGTCACTGTAGGGGTGGGTTTTGAGGTCTCCTTTGCTGAAGCTTCTCTCAGTATGACACGGAGACCACTTCCTGTTTCCTTTGAGTCAAGATACAGGACTCTCAGCTCCTTCTCCAGAACCACTTCTGCCTGTACATTATCATGTCCCACCATGATAATGGACTAAACCTCTGAATATGTAAGCTACCCCAATTAAATGTGTTTCCTGTATCGGTGTCTCTTCACAGCAATAGAAACCCTGACTAAGACAGATGGTACACTGTAAAATCCTGGGCAGAAACTCACAACTTTTAGCTGCTCCCTGGCTGAGGTGACTGTACAAATGCTGCAAACACAGCACTGTGTGTGTGCACAAGTCCTAGGGATGCTTTCAAACTCCCGGTCTGCTTGGCAAAGTGAGGAGGTGGTCTCTCCTTCCCTTGAAGCACTTTCTCCCCTAGTAAGGAGTGGTTAGCAGGGGACAGGAAATCCCCAGGATGGCTGTTCTCCCTAGCAAGGGATGCCAATAGCAATCTGGGTGTCAAAGACTCAAGAGAAGTTCCCAGGGCTCATGGAACCTCTATAGGGAGGAAAGGAGTCCCAGGCAGAGTGTGCTCAGCTGTCTTTGGGCTTATAGCCTTCACCAAGGCTGTGCCTTTGCAAACCTAACATTCTAGTTAGAGGTTTGGGGTAAAAGGTAGAAGGCAGGCAGTTTTTTCAGATA